AAAAAAAAAAAAAAAAAGAAAGAAAGAAAAGAAAGGATTTAATACCTGAAAAACAAAAGTGAGTGATGGGAAGATGGGAAGATTATCTACTAGAGAAGGGCTAGACATTGAATTTCTTGTGAATAAACTGGTGTCCCAAACTCCATTCTAATCCCCAAGTTAATGATATTACTATAGATGGCTTCTAATAGATTATATAGACATTTCAGTCCTAAAAGCCACTGCTCATTTGTTCCTTTTCAATACAGTATAACACAGTATACATATGTGCAAGTCTCGTGTGGTTGCTGATAAGTCAGTGGAATTCTTAGGAACAGAGCTTGAAGGGAGGGTCTGTAATTCATTTAAATTTTTAATTTAAAATTTTTATGATGAAAGAAAGGCATGGTGACTCACATCTGTGATCTCAGCTCTCAGGAGAGTGGAGCAGGAGGTTTATGACTCTAAAGTCAGCCTGGGCTACAGAGTGAGTTTTAAGCTGGGCTGGGCTGTAGAGTGAGACCCTAGCTCAAGAAAACTTCTTAATAAAAAAATAGAGGCAGGATCTTACTCTAGCCCAGGCTGAGTTGGAACTCACTCTGTAGCCAGGCTGGCCTCAAACTCATTGTGATTCTTCTACCTAAGCCTTCAGAATGCTAAGACTATACACACAAGCCACCATACCCAGCCCCTCCCCCAATTCTTTACTGTGTGATTTAGAGAGCTTTGAATTCTGTAGTCCAAAAGACTCACCACATTGTGAAAATTAAAGGGCTTGACAAACACATATAGAATAAATCCAATAAATAAGCCTGATTTTTTTGTTCCTGAATTTGTATATCACTAACATGTGAAGTGACTAAAGGAAGAGATATCATCTTAATAATGCACTACATGTTACTTCATCTCCTCAAAGTTCAAATTCAACACATAATCATATGCAAAATGAAAAGTATCAGGTATGTGGAACACCTAAGTCAGAGGTGCTTGCAGGATACCACTAGAAGGCAGAACTGTACACTAGAGGTCTGGACTAGGAGTAAGCAGATTTGCTTTGATATTTTCTAAATACCATAAGTAGATGAGATGTTGGAAAATTAACCTCCTCAAATCTCATGTTTTTCATTTGTGATATGAGTATAAATTTTTTACCATATCAAACTGTGGGAGTTAGTGAAATAACTGAAATCAAGTGATTTTGAAACCCCAGTACTACCCAAGTATAAAAGTACATGGGGTCACATATTTCACTGTTTCAGAGTCTATTAGCTGTCTTGTTGCTGTGATAAAGCACCTGATACAAGTTAAGGAAGGAATGGTTTATTTGGGCTCACAGTTTCAGAGGATACAATGCATCAAGTCAGGGAAGGTACAGAGGACGGACCAGGGGACTAATGGCCACATCAGATCCACAGTCAGGAAACAGAAAGCAATGAATGCTCATGCTCAGCTGACTTTCTCCTTTTTATTCAGACCACGACCCTAGCTCATGGAATGGTCCTGACCACAGTTAAGATGAGGTACCTCATTCCAGCTAACCCTAATCTAGATAATCCATCACAGGCATGCCTGCAGGAAGCTTATCTGTTAGGTGATTCTAGAATGTGTTAAATTGACAATGCTTACCATCACAACTTCACCCCTTGTCAACTTGACCCCCAAAACAAATCACTTTTAAGCCATAATCTTCCTCTCCTCATCCCCATAGGCTTGTGACTGAGCATTCAGCTCAGCATCTAAAGCTCTCACAGTCTTCAACAGTTACAACACTGTTTAAAAGTGCTGAATCTCTTCTGAGATTCAAGCAATCTCTTAACTGTGAGCTCCCGTACAAAAGAAAAAGTTACATACTTCCAACCTACAACATCACAGAGTCAACACTTCCACTCTAAAGGGGAGGAACAAGAGCACAGCAAAGAAAGGTTGGATCAAGGCAAGACTGAAAGCAGCAGGGCAAACACCAAATTCTACAGCTCCATATCTGGCATCCAGGGCTTATGTTGTAGTCATCAGAGCTCCAAAGGATTTAGGCAGCCCTACCCCTCCAGTTTTGTTATCTGAAACAACACACACGTAATCTCTCTTGGGCTGTCTCTACTCCATGCCTCAAGTTTTTCTCAGTAGACATACCATGCTTGTTGCATCTTAACACCCACTGCAACTTATGCTTCAGCATCACACAGCAGCATCTCTGGGCCTCCTGGCAGGGACTCTGATCTAGACCCACTGCCTGGCCTCAGCAGCTCTCTCGAACTGTGGTACAAGACTCCGTAGCCCTCTCCCGCATCCTTGTGTTTTCCTGCCTGACAAAAAAAGTGATCATGTAGACCATTGCACTGCCAAGTTCTGCTGCCAGCTCAGAATGGAGCCTGGCCCCTTTGCACCACAGTTGCAGCAGCCCCTGTGTGCTGACCCTGGGAAAACACCTCCCTAGGCAGTTGCTTTCAAGGATCAGGAAGTCCCTTCAGTGGCATTCTCAGTTTAGGCTCTCTCCTTTCAAATGAATTTGCATTTTCACAAGTTGAAGCCTTTGATGGATGGAGTCTTGTTCACAGGGGCGTTTCTTATCATTCCAATGTGGAGAAGTAAGGGTTCTTTTTAACAATTATAGTCTCCTTCTCAGCATATACCTTGTTAGCAACTTTAAACTTCCTTCAGGTCTTTTTTTCATCAGGCCACACATTTTTGATGTCTTTCTGCTCCATCTGTTCCTAATTTTTCCACTACAGACCTGGATAAGAGTCAGGAGCAATAACCATACCAAAGCCTGAATATTATCCTGCCTTGAAATTTCCTCTACCAAACAAATTAATCCATTATTAACTCCTATATTCAGCCTCTCTTGAGTTCTCGGGACACAGGCAGGATACAGCCACATTCTTTGCTAAAATATTACATAACTGGCCTTTGGCCTAGTTGCCAACAGCGTTCTTGTTCCCTTCTGAACCCTCAGGAGCCAGACCCCTGCTCACATTTCTCTCAGAGTTCTTCTCTTCCAAGTTCCCACCAGAATGTCACATTAAGCTCAGCTTATAGTACTTAATCATTTTTCTAGCCCAAAGTTCCAAACTGTTCCATATTCCTCCTGTGGATCAATTCCAAAGGCCTTAGAACCACATGGCCAGGTTCATCATGGCAAAGGCCAACTTGCCAGTACTAATTTTCTGTTATTAGCTACTTGTCTCATACTGTGACAAGATACCTGACAAAACCCAACTTAAGGAAAGGTTTTATTTTGTCTCACAGTTCCAGGGGATACAGTACACTATGGCAGGGAAGGTATGGCGGAAGGAGCAAGAGACAGATGGTCACATGATATCCACAGAGAGCAGAAAGTAATGACGGCTCGTGCTCAGTTCACATCCTCCTTTTTATTCAGTGTAGAACATAACCCATGGAATGCTGTCACCCATAGTTAAATCAGGTCTTCCCATTTTAATTAAACTGATCTAGATTATCCCTCACAGGCACGCCCAGGGATTTGTTTCCTAGGTGATTCTAGAGCATTTCAAACTGACATGATTAACTATCTCAGAGAAAGAGCATTCATGCCCCATGAACATAAAATGGCATGTGGAATAACAGAGAGCCATATGGGGCTACAAGTACATGTATTGCTATGTAGGGATCATTCATGTTTCTTCATTAGGAATGGTTTCCATTGGGAATATTTTGCATAAAAAGCATAGCTTCTGTGTTAATCACCATCTGCTGCATAAGGAAACTTCTCTGGTGAGGGTTGAGAGATACAGTCATCCTAGGTGTAGAGGTTACATTGAAGATGTGTCACTTAGGGTTAAGTGTCTCACAGACACTTATTCTCTGTGTTTGACCAGTTCTGGAACTCTGTAGTAGTCCCCATCTGTTACAAAAAGAAGCTTCCTTGATGAGGAGTGAAAGGTATACTTGTCTGGAAATATGAGGATGCATATTTAGAATAAAGTAAGAAATTACATTGTTCTAAGGCTGTGGCAAAAGTAGGTTTTTTGCTAGGCTCTATGACATCTCTAGCCATGTTAGGCTATGTTTACAGTACCACACGAGTTCCCTACGGAAGTGGGTAAGAAATCCCAACAACCTAAGGAACGTTTGGCAATTGGGAACACAGATCAGACTTTATAAGTTGTTTTATATATGGGGAGAGGTGCAGATAGGGGAGAGGATCTAAATACTATCAAACTATATTGTATAAAAATTGCAGAAATGCAATAAAAATAAAATTAGAAGAACAATAGCAAAAGCATAGTTGCAGGTTTTAAAATGCTACCTTAAGGAAGATCTAAACTGTAATTTTTCATTGAGAGTTCCAGCAATGAAAAATGTAAGACATGGTTTAAATTTTTATTAATATAAGAAAAGGAGAGTGGGTACATTCTGTTCAGTTTGTTCTATTCAGTTTATTTTTAATATAAAAATAAGTTAACAAACATTGGCAGTGACATTCATTTTTCCTGAGTAAAAAAAAAAGCCAAAGAAATCTGTTTTGATCATTTGTAGTGACAGCCCCAAAGCTACCTGGAAAAGAATTCCTATTGCCTTTGTCAATTATGAGGTAATGGGGAATTTGTCATTTCTAAATATTAGCAGATTTCAGTAAACTCTCTCAAGAGAATACAGCAGACCTGAAGCAATAACAATCAACAAGCCATGAAATTCATCATGGCAAATAGGCTATTTTTCTGAATTGACAGCTACAAAAAAAAAAACAAACAAAAAAACCCCACACAGTCCACCCTCTCTCCACTTGTCCAAATGGAAGCTCTAGAGAAATAGCTAGGCTTCTAACATGAAATGGACAAATAACATAAATAAAATAACATGACAAAGAACTAATATTTAAAGCTGGATTTCACTCTACTGCATCTCTTTTTTGTGATACTTCAAAACAAAATTTGATAGATATTCGCTCAAATAGAGAATATGCATTTAAGTAAACATGTATGTATACATTTATGCTTGTACATATGCATTCTAATATATTCATTTAATTTAACCATACATAGTAAGTCTAGTTCTACAAAGAAAATGAACCAATGCTCCCTCACAACAGCAGAAAATAACAATTCAATGTTAATTATATTAAAACAATTCAAACCAGGTCAACTCCTTTCAGCTAGAGAATTTCTTATAAACTCTTAGTTTAATCAAACCTCTGTGAAGAATTTCATGGATCTTTCCATGACACTGACTTAGAGAATTAAAACTAAGATTTGCCAAACACTGGATTGAAGGAATTAACTGACATATGGAGGGTGAAAGAGATAGAGGGAGGGTAATATAGGAACTGATGAAGGCTGGAGAGAAAGCAAAAAGGTGAATGCAACTAGAGCCAGGACTAACTCCTCTGTGTTTCCATTCCCTTTTCTAAAACATAGTAACCTCTTTTCTGTCAAGTGTTGCTGTGTGTACAAGAAAGAAAAGATAACTTTGTGGGCACTGGGAAGACTTCATGAAAACCTTTGAAGTATCTTCAAAAAGTGGGTCTCTTCAAGGGGCAGGTGAGCAGGGTACTTTGGATGAGGAGTTCAGCATAAGACAGGGCATGCAGTCACAAAGGCACACTGGTAGACAAATCTTGCTAACCTATCCAATTTGACTAAATGGGAAAAATAGAGACAGGAAGTCAGCTAACTTAGACTGCCCACCTACAAAGCATAGAATTCATTCAGTGCTACACCAAGCTTTTGTTGGTTATAAAGAATGCTTTGACATTTTCAGCTGGTAAAATGGGTTAAGATATTGTGAAGACATTACTTAAATTATATTAGACATAGCTCTCCCTTGGAATTTAAAGGACAGTGCTAGAAAATGAGAGGGGAAGGATGTATGCAGGAATTGTTATAAAGAAACAAATATACAGAATTGGTGACTCTTTGAACTGGAGGGGGCAGAGAGAAGGGAGAGTTAGAGACCTCAAGGTGGATTATCAGGAAGTGATGTATCTTATGAAAGTAAGGGGTATGCACAATGCTCCGGGCTCGAGATCTGTGAAAATGGCTTGGTCCAGCCCTTAATCCAAATAAGATACTAATAATGGATGATCAAGTAGAGTTGCTAAACCATAGTGGACCTAACTTTGAGCTCTTTTTATGAAGGCTTTTAACCAGATAGTAAAGTGGGACTAGGGAAACCAAAACTGGAGCCTATTAAGGGTACCACTAATAGTACTACTAGCTTGACAGGTCAGAAATTCTAGAAGGTTGTCAAGGTTGCAGCAAGGGTTAGTAACTATTTGCATTACAATTTTGGGTGAATCCTAAGAGGTCATTAAAGAAAACATAAACAGAGAGAGATACGCACCTGTCCATCTGAGTCGAAAGCCAGGCACGCAACTCCATGGGTATGGACATCTTTAAGAATAGACACAGTCTGGACATTATAGGAATCCCATATGCATATATATGGCTCCTTCCCAACTTGGCCAGTTGCAATCAGAGTTTTATCTGGGTGTAAGGCAAGGCTGAAAAAGAAAAAGTCCTCTTTATATCCTGTAATTGAACAAAGTTAGATACATTGATCATCCTTTACCCAAATTTGCTTTTCATTTTAAATCATAAAATAAGATGATCTCAGAAGAATGCTGGGTATGGTGGTGCACACCTTTAACCCCAGAACACAGAAAGTAGAGGCAGGAGGATCTCTGTGAATTTGAGGCCAGCCTGGTCTATATAGCAAGTTCCAGGCCAGCCAGGGCTACAGGGAGACCCTGTCTCAAGCCCTCCCAAAAAAAGGTAAAAAAAGGAAAAATGATTTCAGAAGAGTCTAACTGTTCCTAAAGTAATTGATTGCCTGATTAGTGTAAATTAAAATGTTCAGCTTTGAGAAAGAGGCTTAGCAAAGTTTGACGATAATCTTATCTAATCTTGCCTACTTAGTTACCTTGAAAGTCAGACATTACTATGATTGTAAGTCTCTAAATGGAAAATATTTTTTATGGTTTTATAATTGAGTTGTTTTGTTTACTTGCTAATTTTCAAAAGAGTATTGAACTTTCAACCTAACTTCTGACTCTAATTTGAAAATATGCTTTTGTTAAAAAGTCTACTTTTCAATTAATTAAGCCTGGTTGCAAAAGCACAAGGTAGACACCATCCTCACTAGGATTTCAAAGCACAAAAATGTCCCAAGGTCAGGTACTGCTCCTGTGTCTGTTTTCATAGATCACACATTTTAAATGAACATTTCTATTTACATAAGTCACTGTGACACCAAGCAAACTGCAAATTACTACATTTGTGATTTATATAACAATTTTCCTTTGTAGTCCTATCAAAATAAAACTGCCAAATACTAAGCAGTATTTCAAGCACTCTGTAGTGGCCAAGAGGAAAAAGGTTGTCATTGTCAGTGCTAGGTAAAAAGCCACTATGTATTAAATACATTACATAAGTCATACCTTTCTAAAAATGGGTATTAAAATTTTTTTTAAAATAAGGACAGGAAAAAAGAAATTGTGATTTACCAGTAATAGAAAGTTAGCAGATAACCCTGCTCACCCAGTGAACAGAAGTAGGATGTTTCCCAACTTTGATTTTCAGCATCTGTGCACACAGTAAACAGAATCAGACATTTTTCTTTTCGATTTTCAGCATGATATAGAACCTAAAACCTGGATTTGTCTATTACATGCCCCTTACTGCCCCTGATTTTGGGGACAAATTATTTGCTCTCATATATAATGAATACAAAGCATTTAGTACATCGGCTGGCACAGAGTTAGCACTCGACACAAGCTTCATCACCATTTTCGTAACTGTCATTAAACGGATTACAGTACAGTGTAACTTTCAGAAACAATCTCCTTGGGGCCTCAAAGACGACTCGGTAGGTAGAGTACTTGCTTGGTAAATATGAGAACTGAGTTCGGTTCCCCAGAACACATGTAAAAGCCAAATGTGGTAGTGTACACTGTAACCCCAGCAATGAGGGGTGTAGACCTGCAGATCCCAGGGGTCACTGGCTGGCTTGTCTAACCAAAATGGTGAGCTCTAGGTTCAATGAGAGACCCTGCCTTAAAAACTAGGGCAGAGAAGTGATTAAGACAGCCCTCCACACGTGACCTCCTCATGTGACCTCCATACATGTCCATATGGGTGAGTACACCCAGATGCTCATCTATCTAAAATGAGTCTTCTTTAAATGTGAGTCTGACATACAACAAATACTTTCTATGAAATATATCTTCGGGTGGCTGATGAGATGGCTCCAGGGGTAAAGGTGTTTGCCACCAAGGCTGAAACCCTGAGTTCAATTCTTGGAATCCACATGGTAGGAGAAAAATGATTCCCACAAACTGTCCTCTGACCTCCATGCATGCACTGTGGCACTTGTGCACCCACATGCACACATACACAAATAAATGTAATTTAAATCAATAAATTATGAATATTCTTTTAAAATATGTCTCTATCTATTGATCTATTTTCTATCCATCCTCAGGAATCTCTAAGGAATATAAATGATAACTCATAGAAAAAGGAATCTTCTCACAACAGTGAATATAAGAACTTTAACACTTTTCAAGTTTGTAGAATACTTTAACTTTCAGAATTACTGAGAGACGATCTTAAAAATATAAATCTTCCAATCACAGTTGTGTCAGAATGTATCTGGTGTTTGATAGTATACACATGTGTTAGTTGGCTTTCTGTTAATATCATAAATAAGATAACCAACTTATAAAAAGAAATTATTTACTTGGTCTCAGATTTACTGCTTTCAGACTAAGAGCTGTTGGTCACACATCAATAGTGGGGGGGGGATACTCACATCATGGTCAGGAAGGGAAAAGGAAGGAGTCAGGGTCCCATTAGCTCCTTCAAGGCCTATCACCCCAGTGATCTACAAACCTTCCTCCAGGCCCCATGTCTTTAAGGCTCCACCACCTTGAGTACCACCCATCTTGGAGACCAATCCTTTACCACATGAACTTTTGGAGACATGCAAGACCCAAACTAGCAGTAGATGTCATAGAAAACTGCCAAACAATTATGGAATGTCATATGGAATCTCATTAATGAAGCAGACAGAAGATGTGTAAAATTCATATTTATGACATAATGGCATATTTTAGCTAATTCAGTCAATAAAATTTTAGGGATTTGATATGCCGAGGAGCAACAGATACAAAAATAGAAATCACACCCCCACACACAAAAGAGCCTTATTTCAAGGACAATGTATACAGTGACATGGAAAAATGGAGGAGTACCCAGCCACTCAAGATAACATTGCGGGGGCAGGGGCTACTTTACTTCATATGAAAGATAAGGTGCTAATGCACATTTGTTGTGAAAAGACAATTTTGACAATCTGACTGATAAGGGGCAGGAAATAATATGGTTCCAGCAGGCAGAGGTAACTCATGAAAGTTCATAACCAGGCCAGGATATTAGGTTACTAACAGGACATAATGTGAGATGCACATGTGACGTGCAGAGGAAAGAAGAACAGAACTGTGAGGTGTGTTTGCAGGAGAGGCAAGAAGCTGAGTAAGTGCTAGGTGGGCGATGGAGAGATGAAACAGGTAAAGGATGAATCAAGAGCTACTTTAGGGGAAAAGAGAGATAAATAAGAGTGAGGAGTTTGGGTGTGTCCAAGCTGACAGAAGGTTTTGGCTTGGGCTTTTGGATTTATAACACATGGAGCTTGTCTACTATAGACTTTAAAGTCTGTGATCCTCATTTGGGGAAAAAAGATGGTTTTAATTCCTTCCAGAGTTTAGGGTAGTGTCAGGCTTGGAGACCTACCACCTATGAAGAAAAGGATGTGACATGACTGAACATTTAATGAGGGCAAGGGTTGCTGTCCATCCTCTCAACAGTTTTTGGACTATCACAGCAGAATAAGCATTATGGAACATTTGCTGAAGAGGGATTGAAGGATGTCAACAAACAATCCTGGCTGCCATATTGTCTCTCTCCTCTCCTATAGGTAACAAGCCCTGTTCAGGAACTAGAAAATAAAGGGGAATGAGAACACTTTGCATGGCCAACGCCACTTCAAGTAACAAACTCACTTGCTATGATCATAGCTTCTATTTTATTTTACTTTATTTTATTTTATTTTATTTATTTTTTGTCTGCTTGTTTGAGACAGGGTTTCCCTGCAGCCCCTGCTGGCTTGGATCTAACACAGATCCACCTGCCTCTGCCTCTCAAGTGCATAGCTTCTATTTTAAATGCTTGACACAGCTGATGGATTCTTAGGATTCTGAAGTATCTGGGGCAGGGATGGGGGGTAGAAATCACTGATCATTCTAGATTATTGTTTTTCCTCTAATTCATGTTCCCTAAGTTTTCTCAGGTAACTCTTAGAATGAGGGAGGTAACAGGAGAAACAGATATGACAAATCTTTAAAGAAGCTATTATGGTTTGGATAAGAAATACTCTAGAGGTTCATGTGTTAGAGACTTGGTCCCCAGTACAACAGTGTCAGAGGTCAGGTTTAGAAGGTTGATTGTGAGAGCTTTGACTTAATAGATTAAACCACTGATGAATTCTTCTTTGCCATTTGAGTACATTAACAAAGTTGACTATTTCGACTTTTTTAATCCCAGAATCTCTGATTTCACTTGCCAGCTTGCATGCAACATGCTTACTTAGAGAGACTTAAAGTATTATTTACTCATACCCAATGTCAAGAATAGAGAAAACAGGGGTCCGAGAGATGGCTCAGCAGTTAAGAACACTGTTCTTCCAGGAGACCCAAGTACAATTTCCAGAACCCACATGACGGCTAACAACCACCTGTAACTCCATTCCAGGGGATCCAACACCCTCTTCTGACCTCTGTAGGGCATTGCATGCATGTACATACATGCAGGCAAAACACTCATACACATAAAATAATAATAAAATAATTTTTAAAAAACAATAGAGAAAACAGGGTGTGGGCTATAGCTCAAGGGTAGAGTGTTTGCCTAAGCAGCACAACATGCCTAGCATATTGTGTTCAATCCCCAACACCAAGAACAAAACGAAGAGAAGAACATATACATCTCAATGGTAGACCATTTGCCCTGCATGCCATGATATTAGATCCAATCCCCAGCACCAAAGAAAAAATAGGAGCAACAAAGAAATAGACAACAACCTGTATTCTTCCAGCTTCCCAGAATCCCCTCCTTCACCTGGGTGACAAAAATGATACCACCTGTGTGTTCCCTACAGCACAGGCAGGTCAGATTTCAATTTTATCTTAAATTTGCCATTATTAATTCAACAGTACTTTTAAAACTTTGTAAGAAAAAACCTTATGAATTCCAACCACTGGATTCATAAGAACACAATATATGGTATCAGTAATTTGCTTAAGGCAAAACAACTTTTAATAGGTTTAAGTGACCAGCAGGGTATCTACTACCCCTTTCCCAACATATCTGCATTTGTGAATTCAAGACCTTCATGAAGAATCATTTTCAAAAGGTCTTCTTTCCTAATTCCAAAACATCTTAATGT